AAATCTCCGAGTAAGCATTATAGTCATGTAGCAACGACTTACAGAAAAGCTTACTAGTGTCTTAGGTGTCTGAATGATGAACACCAGCTTCCTCTTTTCAAGAAATTGCTTACGCTTTACAACACTCAACTTCATCAATTATACTGGAAGCATCCATGGTGGTTCTTGCACGGCAATCAAATAGAACCAATGTACATGCAGCTGCTTCCCTTCCACGTTCGCGCAATCACTAATTCTGCCACCAGACTTTTACACCGCGAAGGCGGTCCTATCTTCTTGGCCTACGCAACAACGAACTACATGCTGATAAAACACTCTCTGCCTCGTGAAGTTCGGGACATGATTTGGGCCCAGGTCTGGGACGAACATACCGTTGAGGAAAGCCTCGTTTACATGCGCAATACCATCAACAGCACCTGCCGTCTGTGCCACAACACTAAGAACCTAAACTGTCCATATCATCTATGTCTCCCATTCTTTGTGCGCCCGGAGCTGGTTGGATCAGAGATGGCGACAGAACTAGTGGAGTCATGGTACAACATTGCAGCGACCAAGCACCACAAGCTACTCTACGCGTGGACCGCCAAGGGTGTACAGGAGATCATTTGCAAGGACGCTTTCAACATTGGACGCGAACCAGCCCAGTTCATAAGAAAGCTGGAAATCAGCATGAATGTGGACGATTTCGTTCCACCACGGGTGCCATTGGAACCGGGAAAAGAGGGTTGGGGCGATATCAGGAGTGCAGAACATCGCCGGGAACTCATCACCGAGCCTCTTTTGAAGATCCAAAACAAATCGGGATTCCGGTTCAAGATTGAAGTCTGCCACAGTCACATCAGGCTCAACCTCTGGAAAGAGGTTTTCGACACGTTTCGAGAACCGGTGAGAGTGATGAAGGACGAAGGGGCGATCGTGAAAGCCACCTTTATCTACAAGGGAGGTTATAATAGGAGTGACGATGTGGCAACGTACGACATCTTGGATGCTATGACACAGCCCGAGGAGGAATGGAAAGCGAACGCAGTAGCGTTCTTTGATGCGGTTTGTTTTTCTTCACCTTCGCACTTCGCATCCAGCTGACCACACGCATCAGCGACGCAGAATTCCAGACGAGCACCGTCTGTACCGGGATGAGGATCGCCCAAATTTCAATCCAGAGAGCCAGGCCTATCTCACTCAAAAAGAACTCGAAGACCGCCATGAATCCTACATGGATTCGCTCAATTACTCTGGCACAGATGACGGCCCTCCGCCCCATGATTATCTGCGCGAGTACATGGAAACAGGGACTTTGAAGCATGAGGAAGGAGTCTGTCGGTGCCCCGATTGTAATACGGCCCTCGGAGATCACCTGCGGCGGGCAAGATACCATTACTCGAGTGACGACGATGACGAGCACGGTGGCCACATTGGCTACATTGGCAACACCTACTACCATTATGATGATGATGACGAGGAGGACGAAGAGGATGATGAGGAAAGTGATGAGGGTGATGATGATGGAAGCGACGGGAATGCTGGAAGCGACGGGAATGCTGGAAGCGACGGTGAAGAGATGGATGATGTTCAAGGCGGACAGCAGTCAGGCGCTTCTCATCAAACGTAAGCTTGTTTGAGGCATATCTCAGGATATGGCCGCAAAGTAGTCCTACAGTAACAATGAGACTAAAATCGGTCGTACTTTGCTTCTGGCTTTCCCGTGGCCTAGGGAAACGAAGGTTCCCTCATCTCTAAAATAGATGAAATCAAAGTGCTAGGCACCAAACCAAGCCCCGCTATCGCGCTCTCTTTCCCCGTTTCTACATCTCAATCTGAATCATACGACTCATCCGAACTACAATACGGGCTTTCCTCGTCGGGGCCAGTATCAGACCCATCATCTGAGCCAGTGTCAGATCCGTCCTCTGAATCCGTCTCTGGATCGTTGCCGAAGCAGTTGTTCATTCTGTTGGTTGTATCTTCGTGATGTTGAGGGTCATAATCCGGATTGTCTTCCACCAGATAGTCCCTGTGTCTGACCTGGAGGCACTGCTGTCGCGGTTTGAAAAAACTTTCTATCATATATTCCTTCCATTCCGCACCGGGATCCCGGATATGTGAGTTGAGGTCGTACTTTATACTCGAAGTCCTGTCTGGTTGGTAGAACCATTGAACGCGTATGTTCCGACTGTGTTCCTTGAAAGCTGTCAATACGGGTCGCAATAGTTCAAAAATGGGGGTCCAGAGGTTGAGTCGGATATTCCTCTGGGGCAGTCGGATGTAAAGGTGGAAGTCGCGCTTATGAACGATGCGAAGTAATTGGTCAACCATGGCCTGCGCTTCGGCCGGGCTAGCAACAAGGTCCTTAACGGGGACCTCAACAATCAGTCCTCTTAGTACCGCTGTAGGCTTGAGACCAACTTTGAAAGCATCTGCAGTGAGTAGCCGGATTGCCTCAGAAAGCGTTGTTGCGAAGAGGTGGCGGTAATTCGATCCTCCAGGTACCATCTTGTACCACATCTCCAGCGCCTCGCGCGCGGTCTCAATTCCAACGTAGGACTGTTTGATGAAGTGTGGAGCTGCTTTGTGTCCCATACATTCCTCCAAAGTTCCGAATTTACAATAGCAGTCTTCCTTTACAAGGTCGCACAGGTGGCTCCAGGACTTGTTCACAGGAGCGGTTGCGCCGCCATTCGCGCTCCAGAGCTCTTCATAGATCATTTCGCGTATCTCACGAGGCAAGAGACGTTGCATCTCATCGCAGAAGGCCATATTCCAAGCTCTACTGTGAGATCTTACAGTGGCTCGCGACGTCCTTGGAAGAATGCGTTAGTGTGTTGTACGTTTGAGAGCGAAAACAATGCATTCTTCCGCATACTTCGCGTATAGAGCACGCTTCTCGACAAGAAGCCGCATTCTTTCCTTTTTCAATTCTTGAAGCTCGTTGTTGATGGAACTTGTCTGTTGCATAGCCCTATTTGTAGATCAATCCATGTACTCGCAAAGGTGAAGGTAGAGCGTACTCTTGTAATTGTTGGTACGTTCGCCATGCATCTTCCTTCTGGCGATTCTGCTTGCACCTGCATGCACTCATCTTGTTCATCTGAAGTAGTGACCACGACAACGTGTGAATAGTATCTAGGAACTGGGGATGTGTTTGACCAGACCGAGAAAGATCAGAATGTGGGAGAGCAACGTTCGTTCGGGAATCTCAGCTAGCCATGCGGACGCGGCTCCGGGATGAGGGTAAACAGATCACCACTAGGGCATTGTGTTAGCGCGTACGCCCTACACCGAATCACATATGCAGCGACAGACGCCTGCATATACACCACATGGAGTGCTCGATGATTTGGAGGATCATTAACAATACGTTGATTCATGACTGCAAAAGCGCTGACTGTTCGTGCAATAACTACGAAATATCCATGTCGACGGCGGGAAGTAAACCTTATCCTACTTCATCGCCGCTAGTCAAACTTGGCAAAAGCAAGTTCATACGCCAGAGCAAGCGTCATACGCGCGTGCTGAAGCATATGGTCGAAGCTCAGATACTCAATCTTATCTTCGGTTGTGTGTATCTTGTTGTCGCTGTACTTGAAATCGGACTCAATGACGAAGGCTGACGGGTAGCCGGCCTTGGACGCGCTGGCGTGATCTGAACAGGCGTAACCGCACTTGGTCAGAACATACGGAATGCCACAGTAGACAGTGATGATCTTCTTGATGAACTCGGTGAGACCGGGGTCAACGAAGTCAGTAATGACACCAACAGACTCAGGCTCGCCCGCGTCCAGCGTCTTCTGGACGTAGCCGGTCATGTCCTGCTGAAGCATAGCCTTGACCTTGCGAGCCTCCTTCTCGTATGACTGGAAGATGGCCTGCGATCCTAAGAGGCCTCCTTCCTCAGCAGAGTACCAGTGGAACTCAATTGTGTTGTCTGCTTCGCCCTTGAGGATCTCTTCCGACTTGAGGAGTACGCGCAGCGCTTCGAGGATAGTTACGGTACCGCTGCCGTCGTCGTCGGCGCCTGGGGCGGCCAGGAGAGCTGGGAAGAAGAGGTTGATGCTGTCCTGGTGAGCGCCGATGACAATTGTCTTGTCGCTCTTGCCAGGAATGGTGGCGATGATGGAGGACTGGCCCCATGGGTGAGGGAACGCCTTCACGGAGGCTTTGACAGCGCCTGCATCCGCGAGAGTCTTGTTGACCTGGCCAAGAAGCCATGCCGAGCTCTCGACTCCGTATTTGGACTTATAGTATCGCGTGTGGAACGAGGTGAAGGTCTCGAGATGCTCGCGCATGTTGTTCTTCTCCAGCTTCTTGAGCAGGGGAACGATGGTCTCGTTGTGTACAGGCTTTTCGGGGAACTTGACGCTCTCGGTCTTGAACCGGCGGTCCAGCGTGCCGAGCTCTTCATTGTGCGTGATGTCGAAGAAGTTAATGTTTTGCTGTAGCATGTCAGCGGCAGGCTCCACGTTATCTGCTGTCGGTGCTGGGATGTCATACCTTACGCAGCTCCCACTTCTCATCTTCGGTAACCCATCTTGTCTCGCCCGGAGACAGCTCGATAAGATACTCGTCTGGCTCGATGATGGTAAGCTGCGGCTCCTGCAGGACCGCCTGTGGGTCCTTGGGATGCGAAACTGCAGCTACAAGGGCTGCAGTGTACAGAGGTAGCAAGATCGTTGTTGACTTCATGTTTGCTGGAGTGTAGATGGTAGCAAGAGCTGTGATAACGTCTATGGCAGCCGGCACGGTGGCTGGGTTGACGCGATGATGCGGAGATAGCGGCGGAGCTGTCCTGTTTCAGCCAAGCGCGTAGATCATCCGTCACGAGGTCACGCTTTCCTCTTAGTCGCTGCCCAGGTGACATTCCATTATCTAGAGTACCAGACTTCCATCTATTGCGCATTCAGATACATTCTTCGAAGTAAGGATTGCGCACCTTCCAGACGCCCTTTGAGGCTCGATCAAGCCCTGGCAATGAAAATATGCAACGACAGTACCTTCAACATCCCTCAGCACTTATGAGCCTCAGACCCCGGCTTTGTATATCTCTTCGGCGGCGTGCACAAGCCTGAATCGGTGGCTTCCTCTGATGTGAGCGAGCTCTCTCTCGCATTTCTCTTAGGTGCCAGAAGCGTGTCTGAGTACGAGCTTTTGCGCTTCCTTGGCTCAGGTGTCGCAGACTGTTTCTCATGCTCGCCATGACCCATCTTGTCGCTGGAAATGTTTTCCTGTACCTGGTGAACGACCTTACGGAAAGCTTTCGCTGGATCATACCGTCTTCCAGGTTCGGCGCGGAAAGCCTTCGCTGCATCGTCTCGTCGCTCAAGCTCCACGTACTCCATTCGCCGCACAAGAACCCCGGCCTCCTTGAAGACTGCGGGCAATTGTCGGGCAAGCATCTCAACCTGAGAGTTGCCGAGCGCCTCTTCTTTGAGCGAGAAGCGCAAAACAAGTGAGGCTTTTTCCGGTTCTTCGTTGCGAAAAGACTCGTCCCGTTCTGGATTTGGATCGAGTCGTCCAAGCTCCACATTACGTTTGTATCGCTGTAAGCGATCCCACATCAGAGCGGCCTGTGTTGTTCTCTTAGTGTTGATTCTTTCCCACAGTTTGATGACTGGAAATGTTCCACCCTTTGCTTCGAATAAGAGTTCGCGAAGCGACTCACACAATGCATGAGTAAAAGATTCTTGTCCTGGCCCACGTGTATACTCGTCTGCTGAAGAAGCCGCTAACAACTGATAGTTTCGCAATTCTTCGTTTCTGCCTTTATGGGTCACAGCAGCAGTACTCGCGGAGCAGCAATCCAAGATAGCTAGTGTATCAGCTGCTGCGTGTAACTTGAGAGGTGCTTCTGCTTCATCCCAGAATGCTGTAGGAGCATAAGCATGGCCGCTGCTCTCATCCCAATTTCGTGACCTGCTACGTGTTAATGACCGAATGCTGGAACTCCTCAGGCTACCTACGCAGATAACTGCAGTCGACTGCAGCCCTTGTCATCCTCGATACGGACACCATGGCCCGTGTAGTACACAATCAGCAGATTATCTTCGCCGTCGTGTTCGTGCACATGGGTCAATATATGGTGGTTAAGGTCGATCTGCGGATTCCGGCTGTTCCGAATTCTTCTCACTGTACATCCGAACCCGAAGCCAGTTGTGAAAATCGTTTCAAGGAGACCAATCTGCCGCTTTGATTAGGCAATTTTCTTCGAATGGTGCGCAGACTCACCTCTTGCTCGTGGCCTTTGAACTCGTCGACACTCTCATCCCAACGTATTATCAGCACTTCAACCTTGCGATAACCATTGGGTATCTGAAGTACACCATTCGACACATTTTGGAACAATGTGCGCCGCTCAGCCTCGCGGTTCAGCTCCCTCTTGGCCTCTTCGTCACCCGGGTCGAGGAAGGTGAGATCGTCAACAGTGACTGGTACCACGATAGAATTTTGCCGGGAAGGATTGATTGGCTTAGGGCTCTGGCAAGGCTCGGTAGTCTTGCTATGCGTAGGTCGTGCAGTTGACTGACGTTGCGCAGCCATATCTCAGGTGATACAGCAGACTACTGATTGTAGGGCTACCCATCAGGAGGCGCCCTTCTTATGTTATCCTATTGTTGCGTTCGTCGCTGTGATTCCTTCTGAAGGACCTCCAGCGGCGGTGCAAACACGAATTGGAACAACTAGAGACAGCTTACGTTGGCGTTTACCGGCCCCAACATCGCATGTTTGCCTGAGAACTGCTTATCAGACTGCTTGCTCATCCATTGGCTGTCCTAAAGCTGAGTGGGCGCTCCCTTGTGCCACAAAATATGTCCTCCAACCACAACGCACCGACCCCACCAAACTGTCATGCGGACAATCGTTCAGCTGAACAACATGTGATATGAGGCTTAAAGATGGCATATGGGGAACGGTGAGTTCGCTCAAATAGAGTTTGTCATTGCACAGCCTTCCTCATTGTATGCCTTGGGAGCCTCAGTCTAAATAGAGGTCGGCTGCGCCCGAATTACAACTGCTCAGCCTGACTTCTTGTATTCCGAACCTAACAATTACGCCTAGCCATCGAGTTCAAGAAAATTGACCGGTCATGGCAGATCAGGTAAAGCCTCATTATCGTCATCACCAGAGGACTTCACACTGACCGGTGGTCTCACCTGTGCTTAGAACGATGTTCCCGAGAGCGAGCAGAGCAAGTCGGCGGCGATCACTAATCTCGATCCCAATAGGGTACGCAGAGCTCGCTCAATGGAGAGTGAGAGCCACTGACATATTCCATCAGCGCAAGGCAGGCTTCAAGGAAGACGACAAGGTCAACATGAGGGTGAGCAAACGTGTGATGATCGACGGAACAGAGGTGACGCGTATCGAATTCGATGCATTCACCGTTTCTGAGCGTCGTTATCACCAGAGTCGATGGCAGTACAAGTTGAAGGACAGGAAAGGCCTGCTGTACAGTGAAGGTGAAAACTGGTTTTCGGAGAACAAGCTCAAGCCGACATGAGATATGATTCGATCTCTTCAATTTTGCCTAAAAGAACCTAGAATGCGCCACAGTAATCAGGTATCCCGGTTGGCTGCCTTAGCCCTAAGCTGTGCGCCCTCCGTTGTCCTTCAACACGTAGCAAACATACCTATTAAAGCGGAAAATTGCCGCAGTTGATCTGCTATAACTTTCTTCTAATCAAGTTTCTGTGATGACACGTTCAACTGGTATTTAACTACACTGGCAGAAGCGATGATGAGTTCGCAAGGTAGGAGCGGTTTGGAAAAGTCGAGTCTTTGCAGCGAATCGCAATCCTCGGGGCATATATCGATACCGATTGAAGACGCCAAACCAGAAGATTTTCATGGTAAAGCATCCACAGTATCGAGTCCCTAACTGCGCTGACTTCAAAAGAATCCGAACTTTCACCAGCGGAGGTGGAGAAGGAGATACGCAGCACTAAAACTATACCTCGTAGGTCTTCACGAATGATCGCGGATATCTAGTCTTACTAATCATGCGAAGTAAAAAGCTATTCGCTTGGGTACCCTCTCCAGGCCGCATTCCAATCAAGTGAATCTAGCTGGTCGATATATCGCGGCTTCAGTTATTTGCATGCCCGCGTCATACTTCAACTCCAAGATGAACTTCGGAGTTTGGAGGAGCAGCTGACAGATCTCGATGAGATGGACTTGGAGAATGGGGATGGAGCTCGTCTGATGTCTCGAAAAGACGACCTTCAGCAAGCCAGGAGGGAGGAGACGCAAAGTGTACGGGAGGGTCTCATAAGCACTATACAGCACAAGCTTGTCACATATGGTATGTAACCTCTCCACCAACTACTCTGCATTGATGTGGCGATCTGACTTTCTCCCAGACGATATACTCGCCAAAGCCCGTGATCTCAACGCCTTCCAACGGCCATCAAACCGGGACTACCATAGCTTTCGGACTTGGTTCTGGAACGTTAAACCGCTGAACTATGAGCCTGAAGAAGACTTCATCAAGCGTCGTGAGGACCTGGTCTCGCTGCGTCATGGCCGCGAGTGGTCTGGGTTCGACGGAATGATTGAGACGTGCATACGCAAGGTGCATAGCCCTCTCACTCAGGTAAAATTAGCTCTTTACGATAACTTTGCTTGTTATGACTAACCTGTCATCAAGAAACTGTTCGCGACCAAGGAGCTCCGCGAGAAGACGGATGATAAATGTCTCTACTACTATTCGCAGTCTCGGATTGAGAAGCTTGTTGGATTGATCATCACGCTCATAATATTTGTCCTCCTCGTACTTCCGGTTGTCGCCATGTACAAGCTGACATCGGTGGGTGATCGTAACTCCACCTTCGATGCCGTTGGGATTCTGGTTGTGTTCACATTGCTATTCTCTGCTGCCATGAGCTTGCTCACAAAAGCGAAGCGACATGAGCTTTTTGCGGCCAGTGCCGCATACTGCGCCGTCCTGGTCGTTTTTATCAGCAATTTCAGCAACGACGGAAGTCGTCAAAGTGGATGAGCCTGTTTAGATAGTCGGAAGATGAGCAGCTGGATTGCTGTCATCTCTTTGTCGTACATGTGTTTAGGCTGTACCTGCGGAAGTTTGATGTTCTGTTCCTGTGCCAGGTGCCTTCTACGCGCGTGCGCGATGTAAATTGTCGTTCAGGGTATAGTCATTGGGAAGCTCTTTCCAACATGAGATGTTTTCATCGCAGGCAGTAATGTAGAAAAAGAATCAATGGCCCTCAGTGTAGTCTTGATACAGGCCGTTCCGATATTGGTTTGTCAGTGGATAGTTGGTTTAATGCGCTGCTCAAATGGAGCGCTATGGACAGTGGGCTAACTCCGGGATCACGGAATGCCAGCTGTCCAACATCCATGTCGGCAGCAACGTCATCACCTCACCGCGCGATCGACTTATCCACATCTACTAGTGATGGTTTACGTATCGATAGCTTTCTCAATACAGGTATCAAGCTCACCTGTGGTATGAGTGTGCGCGATGCGGGGGACTTTAACTCCGGGTGACGCATTCCTAACTCCGGGCGAGGAAGCCGCCCACGAGATTCTTCAGGTGCCTGCCTATGTAGGTATAAAGAGGGGACAAAGCCGACAAGCCAACGAATCATCCATAACACTTTCCAGAGAATCTATCTGCTCGTGTCGAAAGCCAGGCCAGCATCACAACGTCTGAACCAAAATGGCAGACTCTTCAATCGTTCTCATCACGGGCGGCAACACCGGCATTGGGTACGAGACCGTAAAGGCTCTGTACGCTTCACCACAACCGCACACTATCCTGATGGGTAGTCGCTCTCTCGAAAAAGCAAACGATGCCATCTCTAAGCTCAAGGATGAAGTCTTGGAGTCCAAGTCAGATGTCGTCTCCATCCAAATCGACATTAAGGACGATGCGTCGATCGAAAACGCATTCCAGAACATCAAGAGCAAGTATAGTCACATCGCTAAGGTTATTATTAGCTCTCTTTACTAAAAACTAGTATACTACTTAAAGTAACTATTAGTTATATTACTACTATAGCTTAGTTAAAATAAACTATAAATATTTAAAAAAAAAATTTTATAAGTTTATACTAATATAAAATACTATAAATATAGCTATATAAGTAAGTTAAATTTTACTTTTTTATATAATACTAGATTTAACTTTAAAAGATTAACTTATACTCTAACTACTTTATAGTACTTATTACTTATACTAATACTATTTTATACTATACTTACTTCTATAATAATACTTATTAGTACTACTATATAATTTAAAAGCTAGTACTTAAAAAATTTAATAAAAAGTAGTTACTTTACTTTTTTAATACTAACTTAAGTATAATATATATATATATAAATTTATAAAGTTAAATAAAATTATTAGCTATTTACTAGTACTTTAGTTTAAACTAAAAAACTTATAAATCTAACTATAGTACTTTAGTAGTATTATTAAATTTATTTAAAAAATAAAGTACTAAAAGAAGTTTTAAAATAAAAACTAAAGATTATTAAAAGTAATAGAGAGAGACTATTAAAAGCTTATAAGTAGATTTAATTAATAACCTTAGCTCTAGCTTTGCTTAAATTAATTCGCTGGTTAACAATGCTAGTATGTGCCGTTTTCTCTCTCTCGCTCTAATGCAGCAGACTGATGTGTGATAGGCGGGTCTTTTGATGCCATTATGCGCAAGGATCCTAGCCCCACAGGCATTCGCGCAGCTTGGGACAGAAGTTACTCCCTTAACGTTACTTCCACCCAAGTAGTGACCCATATTTTCGCGCCCCTATTGATAGCCTCCAAACACCCTAGGATCCTCTTCGTGACTTCTGGTCTGTCTTCCCTCGAAACCTCTTCCAGTAGCTTCAATTCCAAGCTCATGAACGCACCGCCGCCAAAGGGTTGGCCCAAGCCACCATCCATGGCCCAAACAGCTTATCGCTCGAGTAAGGCTGGGATGAACATGATGATGCTAGACTGGACACAAAGTCTTAGCGTCGATGGTGTCAAGGTCTTTGGCATCAGCCCCGGATTTCTGGCTACGGGATTGGGAGGCATGGGGCCGGAAATGTTGAAGAAATGGGGTGCGGGCGACCCGAGTATTGGGGGCGTGTTCATCAAGGATGTTGTGGAAGGGAAGAGAGACGAGGATAGCGGCAAAGTTATTAACAAGGATGGTGTGCAACCTTGGTAGCTGCGCTATCTGCGGTATGAAAGGCCGTCGGCTGTCGCACAACATCCGTAGGTATACTATTCTCGGTATCAGTCCATGGTTTGCTAATTCTCAGCCCCCAAATGAAGACGGTTCCTATGCCAGCATTATTTTCGTGGGACCACCCTTTCTTCTCTGGGGCTATTTTGAATCGGCGTTTCGTGCATGTGCCGACTCCTCATCTGTTTTCGTGTCACAGCATAGCTTATAAAAATATGCATGATGCCGTGTATCCAGGGAAGGCTGACCCATCCGCAGGCACCACTGCCACGGCGTCTAAGGCCTTTGAACCTTAAGAGCTGAAACTCGATGTAATTGTGCGGTGAAATAACCCCCCAAGACTTACCACTGCATTGAATCGCAGGTAATGTGGGATATATTGCCCATACGGTTGACGTCTGTATCTCCGTGTGGGTAAAGCAGTGAGACTTTCGCTGCTCAGCCTTGTGCCTCCGCCCTCTTATCTCTCCGCGTTCCTCGCCCCCACCTCGAAGAGCATCAACCTATGATGTTAGCTCTGGCCTACTACCTAATACAGCTAATGCTGTCATCGCAACAAACTGCGCCTCGCTGCAAGTCGTTTCTACCTTTCCAATGGTTCGTTCTACACCGTGGAAGCATCTCAACGACAAGTATGTTCGCGCAACCGCTCTATCAGACGCTATATCGTCCGTTAAATATAGAAGAGACAGCAGGTAGCAGAGTTATGAGCCGTCTGGCGTACTTCATCGTGTTCTGACAATGCACAACTCTTTACAATCTGCTTCGATAGCTAGACACCTACCATCCACAAAAAGACTGTATACTATTACCAATAACCTACTTCCAATCGTTAACAAGGCCCTGTATATCTATTGCACGTCTCCAAGATAATATTCGTCCCCCTAAAACGTAACCTAGATACCATGGTATCAGAACACGAGTCAGTTTACCTTGGAGTCTGGACGAATTGGTCGCATGGCTCGATCGCCGGCCTCACACTCACGACGACTCTTCAAAATGGCGGTTTACTCATCGCTTTCCTCGCGCTGTTCACTACTTTTACTGGAACCTGTTTCTGGACCATCGTCTCGTTCGCCATCCATCAAAACATGAGCCGCAAAATACCCCAAAGCGCATTGTACCACCAAAAGCAAGCAATACTTCGCAACTCAGAGACCAGTACAGCGGCTTTATGGAGACTATCAAGAATGTCTTGGGCCTGGAGGAAGGTGGTGGTTCCGCCCGCGTTACTCAGATCGGTGTCATTACCACTAGTCCTCAGCTTAGCGACCTTTTGCGCTTTCAGCACAGCCGGAGTTTTCTCTTCGCGAGTAGCCACTACGAGGGGTGGCGAGGTTCTTCTCGTTGGTGACAGGTGCGCTACATTGAACAGTTCCCTGTTCACCGAACAGAACTACCGCGTAGCTCAATCGTATATTGCCAGTAGGACCAGAGCAAGCGCCAACTACGAGTCAGTTTGCTATAGGAAGTCTGGGTCAGCAGATAGCTGCCGCAAATTCGTCCGAGATACTCTCCCTGTGACGGTCACGACTGGCATTTCCTGCCCCTTCCCGGGCAAGAACAAGATATGTCATTCTCCGACAGCAGCCCTCCGTTTGGATTCCGGGTTCCTGAATAGTCACTCTGATCTAGGTATCAATTCGCCGCCTTCCTCAAGATTTCTCTATCGAACCGTTAACGAATGTGCCCCAATACGCAGCGAAGGGTACACATACAGGAATTCAACGCAACCCCAGTGGAGTGTTCAGTTCCTGTATGGACACTTTAATGAAGCCTTCTGTGAAAGCAACGACATTGAGTGCACTGTTCAATTTGCTGATGCGAACACTCACCGAGGACCTTTAAGAAGCGAGTACTCGGTTTCGTAAGTCCTTCTCGTCAATACACTACTTCTACAACTAAACATGCGTACAAGTTCCGTCACACGCTACAACGTTCTCGACAACGACCAAGTCTTTTCAAACGATGCCTGGGAGCCCATTCAGGAACTGGAAGTTCCTGACGCAGACCTCGGTGTGTATTTCATGCAGATGAAGGATATCAGGTATCTCGAACCCGTCACCGACTTATGGTTTGAAGCTCTGGACAAGGTGGTCAACAACGGTAAGGAGTTTGGGAATCAGACTTCTTACGCTACCGAGCTGCCAATCAGAGCACTAGCATGCGTTCAGCGATACCAGTTTTGCCGGGCATCCTTAGATGAAGCCAAAAGCTGTACGTCGCTGAATGGTATATTTGAGGCCACTAGATTAGCCTCCTCAACACTCTTTCCACAGCCCAAAGATTCTGAGAGATTCCTTTGGTCCCTACGCGCCATCAGGGATATGGCCGGTGGCTTCCATGAACTCGTCAGCCAGCTCAAGGGCGGATCGCTTCTCGCGAGTGATTATGTCTCAAATAGTGGGCAGGGTGGTTTACCAGACAATCAGTGGGAGCTGGAGCTGGAGCATTGGTTCAAATTCACGATGGCCGACTTACAAAGAGCCATACTCGAGCAAGCGACTGGTCCAGTTGTCCCAGAGGCTGTGCCATTCTTTTCAGCGCCCACGTCTCCGGAAACACGAGCGCTCTGTGGTAGTCAGAAGATCAGGAGCGACTCCTATACTTCGTTCAATGTGCTCGGCCTTATATTGATGTTTTCCATCGGAAGCCTCATCATGCTTGTCGCTGCCTGTCTACCGTCTGTTACTGCGCGTTTGCAGCGGAAGAAGCCATTTTCCAGTATCGAGTGGGTCACAAACGATACACTGCAGCTACAGCGGCTTGCACACGAGGCTGTCGGGGCCGGACAGTGGCAGGGCGCGTGCGATGATTATCCGCGAACGCGAAAGGGAGATCTTCTGGCAGTAATCGATATATCCAACAAGGAACACCCTGTGCTCCGAGCTCCCGCAGCGGCCGAGATGGTGAAGGAAGCAGAGCAAGCCGAGGAATCTCAGGACGAGGAACAAGGTATGCAGGAGCAGAGAAGCGAAGGAAGCGTCGAAGAGTGGAGCGAGGGCCTCAATATGGCAGGTCCAAGAGGGGAAAGAAAGGCGGAGTGGCAGAGGAATGACTCAATCCACGAGTCTTTGATGAGTGTCGAGATTCCGCGCGTGTCTTTGGAGCTGTCACATCGCTTTGCCGCTGAAATCTGTTAGTGCCCTTATTAGAATTCGATAGATGTAGGAACCATGCAATCCCAGAAACGACGCGCATTGTCAGAGAGCACCACGTAATCTCGTGGTGTGAGCATGTTGATGAACGCAGGAGCAAAACGACGCGCGCAGCGATGATGCCAGCCAATGCAAGTGCAGAAGATGCCGTAACGCGTGCCTCGGCTATAGACCGTTATCGATAAGGCACCCTCGAGCCTGGTACCCTTCACCATCACAATGCAGCCCTTCGTAATTACCACACATACCCCCCAATACATAGAACATTCAGATGCCGACCACGCGAGGCCAAAAGCGCGACGTAGAAATGGAGGCAGCCCTGAAGCTTTTCTTCTCAAGTCCGCGCTTCGCTGTCGCCGGCGCGTCTTCCGACCCACACAAATACGGACACAAGAGTACGCTAAGATATCCTCTTCCAACCTCGCCTCGTTCCCGTCATGTCTAATGCGATATCACAGTATTCGCTTGGTATCTCCAGCACTCCCTCCCCGCAACACCTTTGAACCCGCGGAGCTCGAGCGTCACCATCTTGAACCGTGCTCACACCACCGTGCCCTCGCCGACAGCTCTTCAGGACCCACCAGCATCCAGCTACTCCCTGTCAGTGATTACGCCACCTACAGTGACGAAGCAGTTGCTCAAAGAGGCCAAGGAGGCTGGAATTCCTGCTGTATGGCTCCAGCCTGGAAGTTTCGATACCGAAGTTCTAGAGTACGCGAAAGCTAACTTCAAGGCGGCGATTGGCGGCAATGGTGGCAGGCTAGGAGAAGGATGGTGCGTACTTGTTGACGGTGAGGAAGGAATGAGGTTAGCTGGACGAGAAGCGTCGAGACTTTGAAGTGAAACGAAGGTCGACCGAGTAGTATGTGTTGCTCCCTACTCTGGCTATCGGAGGAGTTTCGATGATGTTTACGACTGAATTAAATATACTACAATTCATATTAGGGAAAATATTATGTATTTGGATAAGTCAAGTTTGCCATCCCACGTCTCCATTCATTGTCCTTTAGCCTTTCTTCCACGAACTCTCCGACTCAAGCCAAGTCTCAAACCCCTTCATCTCCGGATGCATCCTCTTGCACTCCTCAATATCTGCACCGAACCCCTTCTCGCGAAACCAATCGAACATGTACCCAAGCTCTTTCGACATCCAGCACAGCGCCCCCGCGACAGACCGATACGTCATCGGAAGCTTTTCACCCGTGCTCTTTCCAAAAGTCTGCTTGAACCGTTCAAACGAAAGTGTATCCCCTGCTAGCGACATACCCTTGTTTTGGTATACCGGAGTATCGTGCTTGAGGAACGCTTGGGCGGCGAAGAACCCAATGTCACTAGTACTGATAAGTTGTAAAGGTTTCTCCTTTGGCAGCTTGATCGCCCAACTCGTTGTAAACACCTTCCCAAAGAAATCCGGAGTCAGATTCTCATAGAATGCCACAGGTCGTAGTACGGTATATGTCATGTTGCCTTTCTTGGATTCGGAGAAGAGGTGTTGCTCGATATTATGTTTCGTGATGAAGTGGGGGACGGTTGTCGGATCCGAGTCTGATTTTGCACCGCCTCGATCCGCAGAAGAGAAGACAAAGTGCGATACACCGTTCTTGATAGACGCATTTACGAGGTCCTTTCCTTGCTTTTCCTCATTCTTTCCGAGCGCCTGTACGAGGATTCAGTAAAGCTCAACTATCATTGCTGGAAACATGCTCACCTGAACACTAAAGACTCCCCAAATGGGCATCTTGGTGGACTCTCTCGCTGCCTTGAACATCTCGTCGGTTGCATCGAGGTTTCCGGTGACGAGTTTGATCCTCGACGACTTCTTTTCGAGCTTCTTGGAGGATGACGACTGGGCGTCCCGGGTGACTGCTAGGATTTCGTAGGGTGCGTTCGCTTTGAGCAAGGCATCAACGACTGAACCACCTTGTTTACCAGTCGCACCTGTGACGAGGACTGCTCTGAGAGCCATTGAGGGCTAATCGGATATTATCTAGTATGGTCAGGAGAAAGAGAAGAAGGTTGCGACTGTGTTCGATTGAGAGTTGAGTGATTCTTGCATCTCTTATGGACACATCGTTCTGCCATGTCTATTGACATATGCGAAATCCAGCTCTGCTTAGTATTGCTCGTACACATGGTGTTGCGCACCGCGACTGTGCGAGTCGGCGGGTTGTTCGCCCGCTTCTGGCAGCAGCTGAGACGAACGCCGCTGATTGGTGTTCGGCCTTCCGAACAGCGAACGCGAGGCGGCTTACGGGATCGATCTGCCCAACTTCTGTCCGGTCGCAGCTCCGTCGCATCGTTCAAGCAATGGATGCATCAATAATTGAGTGACTGTTCTGTGACTGGCCGCACATCAAGACGCGGAAAAGGGTATATATCTGCTAGCAAAAACGATCTCAAGTTTCCCGACATGGCGTGCATCGCATCACCAAGCCAAAGACATCTACATTTCCTTCGCGACGGCCTCCAGGGACTCCTTGAAGATGTTACAAGCCTGGCTCAACTCCTCCTCGCTGATGGTGAGTGGCGGAATGAACCTCAGCACGTCAAACACCGAAGTGCTGAGGAGAAGCATGTCTCGCTTGACGCATTCCTGCACAATCTTGGGTGCAATTTGTGGCTGGCTCTGAGCATGTTGCGCAGCAGTATTTGACGAGTCGCGTTGCAATTCTGGGTTTGCAAACTGGACACCGACCATGAGACCCGATCCGCGAACATCTTCGATCAAGTTACCGGCCTTGGTGCCAGAAGCTTTGAGATCACGGAGGAACGAGAAGATCTGCTTGGAGCGCACGGCGACATTGTCCAGGATCTTCTCCTCGTGGAATGCTTTGACTGTGGCTGTTGCGGCGGCGCATGCGACTGCGTTACCCGCATATGTGCCACCCATGGATCCTGGTTTTTGGAGATCCATGAGCTTCTTACTGCTCGCAATACCGGATAGAGGGAACCCGTTCGCAATGCCCTTTGCGAAGATGAGAATGTCTGGTCGTACGCCAGACTCCTGCACGAACCACATGTGTCCCGTGCGGCCCATACCAGACTGGACCTCGTCAGCGATGAAAAGGACGTTGTGCTCGTCGCAAATCTGCCTGACGCCGTGTAGGAACTCGGGTGGTGCCGGGACATAGCCTCCCTCGCCAAGAACGGGCTCCAGAATGACAGCTGCGGTATCTGCGGGAGAGGTCTGCTGCTGCAGGGTGAGCTTCAATTGAAGCAGTGCCTGGTTCACGAGTTGCTCCTTCGGTGTGTCTGGAGACATGCCGAACTGGCTGTAGTATGGAAATGCGGACGCAAAGACGCCACCCATCAGAGGTCCATGGCCTTCGCCGTAAATAGTCTTGGATCGCGTCATCGAGGCTGTCGCGTTCGTGCGGCCGTGGTATGAGCCCTGCATGACGATGATGTTCGGCTTCTTCGTCGCGGCACGGGCCAGTTTGACGGCTGCTTCAACGGCCTCTGCACCCGAATTCCAGAAGAAGACGGTATCGAGCGATTCGTGGGGAAGTATCGGAATCAGCTCTTTGAGAAGAGCGATCTGTGCGGAGCTGAAGCCAATGTTGACTTGGGCGTGTGTGATCTTGTTGCATTGTGCCGCTGCGGCAGCGCTGACTTTGGGGTGGCAGTGACCAAGGTTCACAACACCAATGCCGGCCGTCATGTCAAGCAGCTTGACGCCCTTGTCCGTGGTGATGAATGTGCCCTTTCCATCTTCAAATACATGCTTGGTGAGGCGGCCAATGCCCTTTGCAATGTGCTGTTCGCCAAATGCTGCTGTATCCATCTCGGAAGACGCTGGTCGTGTAGTAGAGAACGGTCGTCGAGGTGTTGGGACGTGTCGCGGAAGAGTGGGTACGAGGTTGCGTGGAGCTGACAAGCAGCGTTTGGATACCGTGGCGGCCTTCATTATGTATCTTGGGGATTGTGCTGCTGCTTTCGACTGCCGTGTAGGTCAAAGTGGTGGGGTTCGCGTTGAGGCGGCCTGACGTAGCTAGCACGCTTATCGCCGAAACTAGACGCCCTACACGCGTTCTTATGACCTTCACGATCATTTGCGACGGCCAACAACTCACTCACTTCGCTTCTACTAACTTCTTTAGGTAATACAAGAGACCGTCTGCCAAGACTTCTTACTCAACGACAAATTATCTACACGCCCCACACGCCTGAGATATTGTCTGGTAATCGGCCTGCAGCTGTTGTTTGAGCAGAACTTTCCTGTTGCTAGGATAATACTGATGCCTCTATCGAGCCAGCGGCAAATACACAACCACACATAGCAACTACGCCGAGGTGCACTATCTGGGCGGACTACATAGGTCTACGGTTCCCGTTCGAACGTAGAACGTACGATCAACACAACCTATGAGCTTGGAAGACACCGAGATCTCTCTGGTCCAGCCGGTGGTTCAGATATGAACCTTCTCCGCAGCCGTCACACGTCTATCCTGCACTTTTCCACGCCGGCTCTGATAAATGTACAAAGTATATCATGAGTCTACCGCGCTCGCTATCACTACCTAAGACTCGCGCTCATTTCACTTTGTTCTCATCATAAGCAAACAGTCTCAGACGTTGCTTCCTTCCTTACGATCCCAAGCCATAGGCCCCGGGTCTCGAGGACCTCCAGCAATGACCGAAGTTACTGTGAACTTCGTCTCCTTTATGATATTCTTCTGAGAGTCTCCATCACTATTATCGGCCTCGTCATTGTCGCCCAAGGTCTGGAACGTGTCCATGGCTATCACGCGGGAGCGCGAGGTGGGCTGCCGATTGTTTATTCCAGATTGGTATGCTTGTCCGCCAGATGCATCAGGAGTATTGGAGCCGGCGGATACCCTAATGCGCAGGGATAGGAGAGGGCGAAGAGGAGGTAGCGAACCGGCGATGAGGCCAATGCCGACTTCGGTCAAGGACCAGAAGCCGATTTTGCCCGTACTGTACATGAACTCGCCAGGGTCACTGTAGAGTGTGAGGTACTTGAGGCGGACGATGGTAGCACATGAGGCACTGAGTCAGGATTAGTTCTTGATACCATAGCATGAGGGATCGTCAAGGCCTTACAAAGAAGCGAGCGCAAGCATGACAGCAACTGAAGCTTTCACAGCTCCCTTCATCTGGACATTCCAAAGCAGAATAGCCGGCATGATCGAGAGACTAAAGTCTGCAGTGATCTCGATGGCTGAGTAGAATAGACTGACATTCGTATTGAGCTGAAGGTTGCAGGTGCCATTAGATTCACCCCATAGCGTGTTGATCGGATGGCCGGCAAAACGTTAGCGACAATATTTCCTACTTGTAGAACAAGTCAACTCACAGATGTTTGCAATTCCTATGCAGAAGACTAGAGCAGCAACCATGGTAGCACCTATCAGCGCCCATAAAGCCCATGTGAAGAAGCGACGACCAACAGCGATGCGCAGAAGCGCTACTGCAACACTGATTTTGACGAACATGGCGCTGACTGCGTAGAAGTACTCTGCGATGTAAAAGAGCTGAACACAGTGAGTATGGACTCTATAGCATTTCGTCGATAGGGAGTATGTACCTTTGTTCCTTTGGATATTGTCACCGTGGGCAGCTCTCGTGCGAACTGTCCAGAGCCATAGTGGCAACAGACGATGCAAAGAGCAGCTGTCACTGAGAAGAGAATCTGCAATGAACTATCAGTTGGCTTATCACATGCTGGTGGTGCTGGGCACTTACAGTTCCGACGAGCATGAAGTAGTCATCCATGCCCCACGCTTTCCTCCACATCCGTACCCCGACTCTCATGGAGAAGACGATCCAACTCAACACGAGCAATATGATCGCGCAGTACAACAAGGCCACTCCATCTCTGGCCACTTCGACAGTCGTCATGTTCCTTGCGCGATGTAGACAAACGTATCAGAGACCGAGAAATGAAGCAAGCAGATGACGAACATGACACCGGTGGCAGCTCGCCGGATGACATATATTGGACGTTTCATCTCTACCACTGTATCACAGGAGAACCCCAATTTTCTGTCGACTCATGTCGTGGATCGTGAGCCGTGCAAACAGGGCCTTCGTGTTACGTCCTAAGGTCGCGGGCGCTAGACGTAAAGGGCTTCGTCTAGATCGGATCTAATGTGTCAACTACCCGCGGAGGATGCCCTCGGGAATAGCTTAGTGTATAGGACTGCCGCGTGGTCCGAATTGTTTACGTTTTCTCCGACACCTTGCTTTGTGGAAGCGAGCATCAATGGAGCATGGTCCCACTATGGGCTGCGGCGTCGTGAAGAGGAGCTACCCGCATCAAAGAAGCCTTATGCGTACCAGACTTGCTATCCATCTAAATCGTCGGAGTACCCGTGAGGCGTTGGTGACCCCTAGTGACCGGTACATGGATGGCACTGTGGCAGGTGTCGTGATTTTCTTCCCCTGTCGGGCCGTTGCTAGCTTAAGTGGGTCTTACAGCTGGTCCGCCCATGGGCTCGGTTCCAACACTGGCCGGCGCCACGCTCAGACTGCCTGATTAGAAAATGTTCGTCCCAAGACGGCAGTAAAGTTGGGTGGTCACCTGGTTCAGGCGATTACCATCACGCCTCGTATCTTGACTGATAGATGCGTAGTCGCGCGAGTGTGTTTCGATGTTGATTGAGCAGCTTCAAGGTCGCGGTTGGCTTGCTACGAGCGGAATCCTTCCCTGCGATGAAAAAAACGGGCCCCGTACGAAGTCCCTCCCGAGCTCGCTGTGTTCCTTGTAAATCTCCGGCAGCTCCTCAGATTTCGTTTGAGATGATGTTTCTGGGCCCAGAACACGGGTAGCCTCACAATGCCAGCCCATGACTGTTCCAAATCAGTGCGCTCTTGCATGAGCTCGAGCTGATGCGCAAGGGCCCCGATTATGTCTGCATATTATCCTCTTCCTTTCTGTATTTTGCTGAAACTTCCATCTGTTTACTCTCACCATACCTAGCTCCGCCATGACATCGTTCCAAATCCAAGACTCTGACCTGACGGGCTTTCAGGGCAAAGTTGCCGTCATAACAGGTACCTTGGTTCGGCCCAATCAACTTTCAGGTTCCAGAACACTGACAATGCCGTAGGTGGGTCGTCTGGTATTGGCCTCGCCACAGCTGAGCTACTGCTCTCTCTAGGCGCACTAGTTGTGACTGGTGATATTCAGGCACCACCGGCGTCTGTGGCTGACTGTCACTTCGTCCAAATCGACGTCAGGCGCTGGAGCGATCTAACGAAACTATTCAAGGCCGCGAAAGAAAAGCACGGTCGTGTTGACTTTGTATTTGCGAATGCTGGAATTGGGCCACGCGCAAATTACTTGGCTCTCGAAGTCGATGAGAACGGTGACCCCAAGGAACCAAATGATGACACCTTGGACATCAATCTGGACAGTGTTGTCAGGACCGTGACACTCGCTACCCATTATCTGAAGGGCCAGGCCGAGGGGGGGTCCATTGTCATCATGGGGTCCAGCACCGGCTTGCATCCCGTCCGAGCAGTTGATTATTGTGAGTAACAGTTCGTCGATCACGTTAGAATCTCCGACTAACAGCACGACTCAGCGACGGCCAAAGCGGGTGTTCTAGGCTTTGGTAGGAGTTTCGCGCTGTTGGTGAAGGCTGCCGGTCTGCCTATTCGCGTCAACACTCTCGCCCCTTCATGGACGGCAACTCAGGTCTTGCCCGATTTGAAAGGCTTGCTAGATGCGGTTTCGTACAACTGCCAGCCTACTTCAGTCGTTGCCCGAGCAGCGGCCTACTTGATGGTAGACAAGTCTCGTCACGGAGACCTCATCTTTGCCTGCGACGGAAAATACACAGAGATCGAGAAGGCTGTGCTTGCGCCAGCATATGCAACTATCAAGGGAGACGGATTAAGCGACGATGATGTCCTGGCGAAGGTCTTGGCGCTGGGTAGCTAGACATCCGACTGAATCAACGAGCAAATTCTGAAGTATTGAAAACGGATTTAACATGGATGATGTGAGTTGAACGATCGGAGAACCATAATCTGGAAGGGGGACGAACCCCTGCCAAGATTGTGACTGGTATACCCCTTCGGGTTAGATTGTCACTAATGATGTCATGCTGGCCAAACCCGAAATCACTTATTCCCGAGGTCTGCTGTGTTTCTGCTTAGGCATGAACTACTATTTGATGTGACCGTCACGAGCTATCCGAGTCTAAACACACTGACTGTAGTAATCGCCGTTGGCTTTGCACGTCGACCCACTCGCACAGCCTGTACATCCACTATAGGTTTTCCCGCCACACTGCCCATACTTCGCAACTTCGCATATGGGCGCAGCCGGTACTGTGGGCGTAGCAGATGCGCTGGTCATCATGGTAGTGGGGGAGGCTGTGGCTGTGGGTGCAGCGGTGGGTGCAGCAGACGGCGCGGGCGCAGAACCGCTTCCATCCCAAACAGCAGGGCCAGGGACAGGATAAGTGGTTGCTTGCTTGGCTTCAGGGGAGTCAATGTTGAAAGCAATGCCAGGCTCTGTTCCAGTGTAGGCGCCTGGGAAAGAAACGAGCGCTGATGCGGGAGGAGAGGCTGTACCCGATCCTGTCACGGTGAATTGAGCGCACTCGGGATAGACTGGAGAGTATCAGCTTGAGCATCGGTATGGCAATGTGAAAAATTGGCTCACATTGCGGGTTGTTCGCCTGATGTACAGCGATGAGCTCATGACGGATCAAGTAGTCACCTGCTGCAAGTGTAGCTGGGATAGTGACTGTGGCATAGAGAGTGTCGAGGATGGCATCGCCTGCCCAGATACCGGAATTTTCAGTTCCAGATATGAGGCCTTGCTCGTATATCTTGACTACGTCGCGGTCCTGTTAAAGATGTAGTCCACTTAAAGGATATGTACTTACACCACACTTTACCAGCTCCATCGAAGCTGTCACAAGATCCCGGACATTTGGCCATGTATACAAGAAGAGAAGTCGGCCTGTGAGTCCATTGCTTCCAGTGTGTCTTCAATTTGGCACCAGCGGCAATGGTGCCAGTCATGCCCGTACCGAGAGCGCCGTTATTGTTGCAGCGGATGTTGACTGTCTAGAATAAGTGAGCTTTTGGTTGATGTACGCTTTTGTAGGGTCGTACTGAGAGATCTTTGATGTACATGGGGTCGTAAGTCGAGTACTGTCGCTGAATGGACTTTTGACCTGAAGCTGAGTTGTACGGTGACCATCTTGGAATTGTCAGTACATGGGAAGAGTGCGTGTGAGAAGGTGATATACCCTTGGTAGGTTGTGTCTCCTACAATATACTGATCGACTCCTCCATGAGCGGTCGCAGTTGCAACCAAGGAAGCAACCGCCGTCAATGCCGTGTAGAACTTCATTATGATGTTGTAGAGCAAACTAGAGGGACCGATATTAGATAGCAAGTCGATGCGCAAAGATGGGCGGTGGTACAAGCAGAGAGTGCACCCTCTCATATACTTTCCGTTTGCCCCCGTAAGCCACACCAGCGCGTATCGCGTGAGGAAACCGGGTATTGTGTTGCCTCATAGAGGCAAATTCCCACGCGTACCATAGATTGATGTGTGATACTAGTCCATATGCTTGGTCCGTCACAGCCGCATGGCATCTCGACCTCTAGAGGAGTTTGTGCGACCGGGCCAGATCTGAGGGATACTGCATAATCCGATCAATGGGCCAATGGTGCGAAAAAGCACGTTCGACTTTTGTGGTAGTCTTAACGGAGCAGACAGCCGTTGGGGGAATGCATAGATGAAGTGCGCAGGGGTGTAAATAGCCGGAGGTCACATTTCGCGGGGAAGTCGGTAGCGTGTGCCCATGACTTGAATGCTTGTATATGAGGTGTGGGTCATCTATAATTTAGGATGATCTTGATCACACATGGCCGCTGCTTGTTCGACCATAAGATATGAAGCTCAGAGCTTGAGTATCTCATCGGGTTCGTTAGCGACAGCATCACAAGGGTTGTGAAAATGAGCTGCACGCGCAAAGTGTAGCAAAGACCTGAGTGTGAAAGTATTAGTATACGGTACTGATTTGAAGAGCCGCTGGCTGGAGAGAAGACCATACCTCGCTTATGCATGGGTGGTCAGAACACACTACGTCACGGTGGGGTCTGCTATGTGTGGTCATTCAAATGAATCGTGAGATGTACGGAGCGCCCGGTCAAT